AATATAAAGAAAAAACTCAAATATTATTTGTATATTAAGATTTCCCAGTTGGAAAGAAACAAAATCATTGTTAGCTCACAGGGAAAAATTCAAAATCAGGTTTTTTGTTGCTGCTCAAAAAATGCTTCAAAAATGTTTTTAGGATTATATTTCAGACAGTTCATTCAAATCATTCATTGATAAGGCATTAATTCATTATATTTTGACATAATGCACTTCTTGCAAACGGTTAAATCAAAACCCTATCGCTGTATTTCTCCACATCCCACTTTTGGACTTAATCCTCGTTTCAATGTGATGGCTCATATTTATATTTTTATTTAGTCTATTATGTTTGTTTTATTAGATCATTGTTCTCCATGCATTTGTAAAAATAAAAACCAAATTAACAATTTAGAAAAAAAAATTTGACGACCCCCAGGATACCTCTCACGGACCCCTTGGGGTCCTGGGACCCCAATTTGAGAACCTCCGTCCCAAATGTTCTTTACATTAGAACTGTAGGCCAAGTGCATCATGGGAGCTGTTCATTTATAATACTGAACACTGGCCCAGGCTGCAGTGACAGCAGGAAGTCCTCCTCTCAGCCTGAGCGGATGCACCGAGGAGGTCTTGAGTGGCAGGATGCAGGAAGCGCATCAGCTGCTCTCCTCCCTCCATCCTCCGGGCTGTGCGCGCGCGGCTTGTGCGTGATGACGCCAGGAACGTTCGGCTGCGTGAGTCCGGGCTGGCAGAGAGAGCAGCTGAGCCGCCGGGTTATGTAACTGACGGGATGCTGCTGCTACTGCTGCTGAACGGGTCAGATTAGCAGGAATACACGAGGTGATAAATGAGGGTGTGCGAGCTCGTGAGAGGCAGACTGTAAACAGATCTGCAGGCGGACGAAGCGCGCGCTGGCTGCAGGGGCCTGAGGGGCGCGGAGGAGGCATCACCTCGTTTATTGTTTTGCAGCCGAGCAGAGGCGCGTCCCTGTTTAGATATTTTTATTTTTACTTCTCCCATCAGTGGAAAGAAGCCAATGCGGGTTGGTCTCAGACAGGATCCGGGATCACAGCTTTCCTTTTACTGCGCCCCTTTGATCCGGCGGCCCAGCGGCGGCGGCGCGCTCCGGTGGAAATCATGGCGGGTCCGGAGCAGTGCCAGCAGCAGCAGCAGCAGGTGGAGGAGAAGGCAGAGCACATAGATGATGCTGAGATGGCTCTGCAGGGCATCAACATGCTGCTCAACAACGGCTTCAAGGAGAGCGACGAGCTTTTCAAGAGATACAGGTGAAGTTTCAGGCTAAACTCTGAAAGACAAGGAGATTAAAAAAAATTATAATCTGTCAGAAACAGAACAACATGTACTGATTGTCTGATCCCAGTGCAACAGAGATGAGTTTATTTGTTTAAATGCCATCCAGGTCCAGTGTTACAGATGTGCATCTGCCTCACAGACGTCTGTGTTCTGACATGAAATTATTTTAGTTTTTAATACTGAATCTGTGTCAACTGTCTGTCTGAATGAACTGTCTGAATGGTTTTTTTTTTTTTTGGGGGGGGGGGGGGGGGATAAGAGAAATTGCATGTTCTGTGAAAAGTACAGTGACAATGCTTAGAGCTGTGAAGCATTTAA